CGAGATTTCCTAAGCAATCTTGGTGATCCTGTTTACCTAAACCGCCTGATACCTCGTGGCTGGCTCAATGGTTAGGGCGTTGGACTTCTGATCAACAGGTCGCGAGTTCGAGCCTCGGGTGGTGCACCAGTTGCCTACACTGCTGGTGGGGCTCGAGGGTGGGTTCCATTAGCGATTGGTGAACATTCATCAAGGAATATAAATATCTCCCGATCTAAACCGGCAAGACGACGAGCCCGTGTCTCAATGGCTAGAGCGTTAAACATTTGATCAACAGGTCGCGAGTTCGAACCTCGGCTGGTGCACTACTTGAGGTTTGGTATGACTGGCTGATGACGGTTAATGAGCCCGAAATAGCTATTTCAGTCTCCCTAGCCTTTGCCAGCAATGTTCGTCTGCCTCCAGTTTATAGTTGTTCCCAGCGGGTACTCTGTCGTACAATTAGGACAGATCAGCTGACGCCAGTCCCTTGTGACCTTACATCTTCCCAATGTGGGCCCTGGTTTAAGTGATCGGACGTTTGACTTGACTGTTCAGAGCCAAAGTGGCCCGGATTTAGGGCATAGCGGGCTAAGGACTGCGAGGAAGCCAGAAATGGTCAATCCAATGCAGTCTTGTAGATACCACGTCGTCCCTTGTAAATCCTAGCCGAAGAGCCTCTCGAATAACTAATAATGGCTGAAGGGCTTCTCGAATAACTGTTGCTAATGGCTGAGGAGCTTTCGTATTGCAGTGTTTCCGAGGTCAGAAGTTATGTCGAAGGCCAGTCAAATAACTTGAATAACTGTTAATAATGCAGTGTTTCTTAATGCACTGCTGCGTTTCGTCACCTGAATAGACGCACCCGAGGTTAGAAGTTATGTCAAATGACATTCAGTCAGTCAGTCGGCTATTCTTTATATGTCAGGAGACAGTCAGCATAACTCGGTGTGGTTCTACAGCAGTAAGCTTAACCGTGCACGATATGGAGAAAAAAGCGATATAGAAAACAAATTGGTTTCCGTACACGGAACACCTGTGTAACAGCATGTTAGCTTCAAAAATACTTTTGTGTATGCTTTCTTTACAGTGTATTTGAATTTATAAGGACAAAAATCAGTGGGAAAATTTACTGGTAGTCGTAGGATAAGTAGTGGCATTTTTAAAAGAGATACTAAATTATCTACTATATTCGTTTCAGTAGGCGCATTTATGCCCATTCAAGTAAGTTGGTGGAGTAGTAATTGCGGACAGCTTCCTGCTTCTTCAACGCAATGGTGACAATATTAAAAATGTACTTCAGTGACCTCGCCCAAGGTCAACAAACAAACCCCAACGATGCATACACATATCTTAGCTCAGGAATTTAGAAATCATATACGGGTTGCTTCAATTTAGCACTCAAGTAAACCGGCCACAACACAGCCAGTCACAGGAATTTTAGACTTCTTATATTAAACACAACATGTGACTATTTTATACATTAGTACAGTAATATTTATTAACAGATTTTTCTACTATTTATAATAAACGCTTAATATTACAAAAAGTCTTCAAAAAATTCTATTATTACTGGGTTTTGGGCTGAAAAACAAAAGACGACATTTCCAGGTTTGTCGACCTCGACTCGAGCTCGGTTTGTTCTTCGTCCAACGCCGTCGCTACATAGCCGCCGCATTAAACTTTTCCGACAAACTTTTAAGGCTTTTTGGACTTATTTTTTGAAATTCCCTTTCTCTTCCATCCCTTTTCCCCATCCATAAACCCCCTAATCCCACCAGTCCCGTAAGAAAGAAGACTGGGACTTTAAATACCCGAGGCACACTACACAAACTAACTTTCCCAAGTTACAAATATTTAAGTTTTCCTTTTTTAAACAACACAGTTTATTCAGGCAGTCAGAGAACGGTTTGTTTAGAAGCCGGCATCCTGACACGACTTAAATATTATCAGATTATGCCGTAAGTTAACTGATACCACAAATCTTCTTTAGTCATATATATATATATCCCATCTTTGTTCTCTAGCTTCGCTTTCCCAGGATACGTTGTTATATTACCCACTACGTAAGACGTACTGATGATCGGTAGCGACCGTGAAACAGCTGTCTGTGTTCGGCCTAATACACCCTTAGTAACCTTTATATATAGGAAGTTTTTTCACCAGAGTCCCATCTTTGTTCCCTAGGTTCGTGTTCTGCAGGACTTAACCTCTACGGGCCTTTTACCAGGGTCGATTTTAGCAGTTCTGGTGGCTGTTTTGATGATTGTCTGGCCCCTAATTCAAAAAAGGCCAGTCACGTCTGATCAGTCAACCGAGTCTTCCGGTGATAGATGCGAAAGTCTTCTTCAGCTACACCAGCTGCCCGCCAGGGATGTCGCCCTTCTCACCAGAGACTTTATCTCCGTCTTCGTCCTACTTCAGGTAGCCTTTTTTTAAATTTATCACACAAGTATGTTTACTTAAACGGTGTAAGTAGACATTTATAATGTGCGTTTTGTTTTTGCGGATTCAGCTGGCAGCGTTTGCCCTCTTGGCCGGTATGATCATGCGCTTGAAGCTCTTCTTTGTGCCACAACTCTGTCTGAGTTTGGCTATCCTTGCCCAACCCCGACTCTTCTTTGGCTCGCACAAATTGCTGCGTCTTTTCGTCAGCAGCAAGCCTTCCAAGTCTTCCAGAAAACTCTCTCAGCGAGCCGCCTCCTCACCTTGGCCCACCAGAGCCCTCTTTTTCAAGGTCATACGGATCCACTCCATTTTCATCCTCTTCCTCGTGCTCAGCGCCCTCAAAGGCTGGCAAAATTTGCGGGTAAGAGCGCACGATCCATAGCGATCTCTGCATTTTGCATGCACAACCTATGGGCTAATCTCAGTGTAGAGATCATTTTCTTTTTTATCATTTCGAGGGTCGTCTAAGACATGGGGTTTCCGTATTAGATCTGCTTTATGCCAATGTCAGGGTAACTAAGCATTTTTACGTGCGTCGATTATGCACACTGACTCTATTAAAGACCACACACGTTTGACCGTTTTGATGGTTCGCCGCGGTTTGTGAGTAAACTAGATGTCACTGTTGGTTTGCTGAGGACCAGGTCAAGCTTATTTTATATCATGCGTCGAAACAACAAAACCGTTGAGTAAAATTCATGATTTTTTAGTCCATACACCTGTAGTGGTAATATTAATCAAATCTTCACGCAAAGGCAGGAGGGTTGTCTATTAGAAATGTGGTCCTTCTTGGACAGTATATGTTACACTGATTGATGACGGTCGTACCTGCCTCATCTGACGGAAAATTGTATCTTCAGTCAGTCAGTCAGTATATTTGGAGTAAATGACCGTAGCCCTTAAAAACTCCACTTAAATGGTACAGGAATGCATAAGTTTTTGTGCAATATGCAAACATTGTTACAGATCGCTTTTGTTGTACAAAAGAGCACAGAAATAATTAGGAAAAATGAATTTTTGAAGAGGTGAGGTGTTTGCGGAATGGCAGCG